TAGTGAGGTTGGCCCAGGATCGGACATTGTTTCGTTCTGCTGTGCATGGGGTCGCTATGAGTCGGTTCCGACTCGATGGTACCTGACAACAACAACAACAATCGGACATACGAAGGAGCTCTGGTAGTTGTTACAAAACAGGCTGCTAACCTCAAAGTCGGCAGTTCAAAACTACCAGCCGTTCCACAAGAGAAAGATGAGGCTTTCTCCTCCTGTGAAGATTTACAGCTCCGGAAACCCTGTGCAGGGTCACTATGAATTGGAACCGACTCTATAGTACTCAACAACAACATCAGAAATGTGGGAGTTCTGGTGTGACACTATAGGATCAGCATTGGATCACAAGGTCCATTTGAACCACAAAGTTGGCAGTTCAGGCTCAGCAGTTGCTCCTTGGAAACCCTACCCAGCAGGGGTGGGAACTTTTTTTCTGCCAAGGGCCATTTGTATATTTATAACCTCATTCAGGGACCATACAAAATTATCAACTTAAAAACTAGCTTTCTGTATTTGGTAAAGCATTTAATTAACTTACCTCTAACTGACTCCACGGCACATAACTACAACAACAAATGTAAAGGAGCTCTGGTAGCATATTGGTTACGTATCGGGCTGCTAATTGCACGGTCAGCAGTTAGAAACTACCAGTTGTTCTGCAGGAGAAAGATGAGGCTTTCTGCTCCCATAAAGATTTACAGCCTCGGAAACCCTATGCAGGGTCACTATGAGTCAGAACCGATTCCATGGCACATCACAACAATAACAACGTGAAGGAGCTCTGGTAGCGTAGTGGTCACAAATCGGAATGGTAACCCTAAGGTCAGCAGTTTGGAAGTACAGCTGTTCCGTGGGAGAAAGATGAGGCTTTCTGCTCCTGTGAAGATTTACAGCCGCGGAAACCCTGTGCTGGGTCACTATGAGTTGGAACCAGCTCCACAGTACTTAACAACAATGTGATGGTGTGGTGCGGTGGGTTAATGCACTAGACTACAAAGTCAGTTTGAACTGCAAGGTCAATGGTTCAAGCTCACCAGTCACTCCTTGGAAACCTTATACAGGGTTGCTGTGGGTCAGAACCGACTCAGCGGCCCTTAACAACAATGTGATGGGATCCTGGTGTGATGCTGTAGGATAAGCAGTCGACTGCAAGATCATTTTGAACTTCAAGGTTGGTGGTTCAAATTCACCAGCCCCTCCTCGGAAACCCTATATGGGATTACTATGAGTCAGAACCGACTCGATGGCACTATAACAACAACAACAACAACAATGTGATAGTTGGAATGGCAGTTGGCAGTGTCTTGGCAGGGCCAAACCAAATGATGTCACGGGCCTCATATGGCCCGTGGGCTGGACGTTCCCCACTCCTGCTTATTGTTGTTGTTGTTGCTATGTGCCGTGGAGTCAGTTCCGACTCATAGTAACCCCGTACAGGGTTTTGGAAGCTGTAAATCTTTACGGGAGCAGAAAGCCTCATCTTTCTCCCATGGAACTGCTGACCGTAAGATTAGCAGCCCAATTTGTAACCACTTCGCTAATGAGTTGGAATCGACTCATTGACACTTAACAACAGCATTAGAAATATTAAGCTAGAACTCACAAAAATTGAGCTTGATCTGTTAACACTGAGTGACTTGTCGCCATGGATTCTTGCTGCTCTTTCAACAAAAAAATGGAGCTCGGACCTGTCTCTGAACACTAAGCTAGCCTACATGTCTCCCTCCCTCAACAGGTCCAGAAGATCGGGGTGTTTAGCTGTGGTCCCCCAGGCATGACCAAAAATGTGGAAAAGGCATGCCAACTCATCAACAAGCAGGACCGAACTCATTTCTCCCATCATTATGAGAATTTCTAGGCCCCCTGCCCAGGCCTTCATCCACTGTTGAGCAGAGAACTGGGTCCACGCTTCACCTTTGCACTTCCTGTTTCTGGCTACATCAGTTATCTCCCCTTCCCACCTCCCAACCTTAGTCACCATCTGGGCTAAGAGGCCCCCAGGCCCAGGATGTCTCAGACTGAAGTTGGGAACAGGGTTACTACCAGGGGACAAGAGCTTGTGAGGTGAGAAAAAGCTATTATTGCTTTAGGGCAAATTAAAGTCTCTTCTTCCAGGATAAGAGAGAATAGAATAAAACCCCCCAAAAACAATTTGAAAGGCTGGAGCTGACAAGCGGGGTGTGTGTGTGTGTGTGTGTGTGTAGTGGGCTGTGAGCATAGGAGTGAAGGATGGGAGCACAGATGCTGGCATCTTAGAGCCCCCCACCCCAGAACCTTGTCCTCCTTTGGGCTATTTTCAAAAGGGCTGGAAAATGCCATGGAGTGGGTAGAGGCTGGACCCACAGAGATGTACAGAAACTCCCTCAGCACTTGTCTAATGGTGCAATTGATCTCTCCCATTTGCAAACATGTACAGTAAGTTGTCAGACCCTAACCCCAAACCCATCTGTGCCTTTCTCTCCAGCCCTCTTCTCCCCTGCTCCAATGGTCTTCTTTACAAATAAATGATTTTCTTTCTGTTTCCAAGCTTTTTTTATTCTGCCCCCAGATGGGGTGGGGGCACCAGCAGAGGCCACTCACCCAACCAGCTAAGGCTGGCTCAGACATCCTCTATTATCCACTCCATCAAGAATCCCGCTTGGGACTGCCCTACCTAATAAAGGGGCTTTAGGCTAAGCGCTGGACTGCTAATTACAAAGCTGACAGTTCAAATCCTCTTATATTGTTGTCAAATGCCCTTGAGTCAGTTTCAACTCATAGCGACTGTCTGTATAGGGTTTCCAAGGAGCAGCTGATGGGTTCCTACAGCTGACCTTGTTTATCCTACAGAGCCCCACCAGGACTCCTAGAAACCCTATAGGGTTACTGTGATCCATAACCACTAACTCAAGGCACTTAACAGCAACAGGGTGGTTAACATGAGGACACCTACGGCAGTGGTACATTGGGTAGAAGGTGCAGAAGAGGAGGACCCAACCTGCGCTCTTGAGGAGCCAGAGTTGGCCCAGCTTACTCCAGGATCTAAGTTACTGCTCCTTACCCTTCTCTGGACACAACGGGAGCTGGGCACTGGTGCCTAACGTGGCTCTTCCAGGTAAAGGTGGACCTCTGTTTTCTCATTGGCAGCCTGGCTGGGTGCTCTCCAACTCTCTCCTAAAATGTAGTATAACCCTCTGTGAGGGAATTTCTGTAACAATGCCTGATTTTAAGTATTCCATTCTACTGTTCCTATAGAATTCAAACACTCGGCCAGATGACATTATCGTTGCTTTGGAGACAACCACCACTGTATTACAGACTCCAAAATTCATGCCGTATTTAGAACCTGCATGGTTAGTTTCTGGAAAAGACCCGGTCTACTAGGGCGCCCTCAGCCAAGGAGGTTTGCCCTGTGGGGTGACTAATATTCTTTGCATCCAGTGAGTTTCATTTTGCAAGAAGGGCGGGCCTGGTGGCTCTGTGGGCAGTACCCGGATCTCCGCAGGTTCCAGATGTGGATGTAGGTCGCAGACGGTTGTGACCTCGAGCGTGCGGTTACAGCCGCGGCCAGCAGGGGGCGCGCACGTCCGGCCCCACCACACGAGACCCGGAATCTGGAGTCGCAGTCCAGGGAGAAGTGGTGCAGGCATTTCCCTTTTTCTTGCAAAGAAACGGTCCCAGGAACCCACATCCACCGCCCCGCAAGGCTTCCTGCCCCCTCAGCGCGCTGCTCCCCGCGTGGCCGGGCCTCCCATTTCCCCCTCCGCCTGTCGCGCAGCCTCTTTGTTTCTCCACTGTCTCCCCTCCTCCCAGACAAATGGCTGTTGGCAGGAAATTGGCTGCGCTCTTAGGAAGCCGCGCTTGTCGGAGCCGCGGGGAGGGGGCGCCACGCGGACGACCGGCTCCCGGTGGCCCCAGCTGGGGTGGGGGCGACGGGGGTGTTTTGACATTTCGTCAAAGAAAGGAACTTGATGCTTCGAAAGTGCTTTTCACAGCCGCTCTGCATCTGCTCCCGAGCTGATTTATAAACAATCTGCTCGCTTCTCCGCTCCCTCCCCCTGGGAGGGGGGGGGGCGGTGCCGGGAGCGCGCGCTGCAGTGCCTGGCAGGGCTGCGTTTATTTATTGCCTCTGGCCCGAAGCCGGGGCGTCTGGGGACTGCACAAGTTCGCTCCGGCCGGAGCCCTCCCCTACTCTTCCCCCCTCCCCCCATGCCACCTCCCGCCCCAGGAGCCACTGCCTTCCCCAAATCCGGCTTCAGACTACTGGCGGAGCCTTCAGGCGGCTTGGTGATGGAGGCGGAGAGATGGTCCGGCCCGGTGCGCTCGCGTCCAGTTTCACCCCGCACTGACCAAGGAAGAAGGGGTTGGTGACGGCATCACCTCTGCCCTAGGGGCGGAATGGGGCTGGCGTTGCCAATATCCAACTCCTTACAAGACCAGCGGCTCTAGTGCCCCCCTTCCTCCTAGGGTTATCCTCCCAAGAATTTTCTGTACCCTGTGTTACAGTCACCCCCTAGCTCCACAGGCCCGTAGCCCTTTCCTTTTAGAATAAATTAAGGAATCTCCCAAGTTCTACTGGATCTGAGGGAGAGAGAGGGAAAGGAGGATTTGTGAGGTGAAGGTCAGTCCACCGAAGGTGCCAAAACCCTCAGCCTGGGTATGGGCAAAGGGCTGGACCCAGGTCTGTCACGGTGCTGGGCCAAACATCTACAGAGTTCGGATGGCCACTGGGTAGAGCAGGGACATGTGTTCAGCACCCTTAATGGGCAGCTTGCGGCTGGCGTAGTGATGCACGATTTCAGGAACGCTGCTGAAGGGTGGGCTGTTCTGGCCCAGCACGTACTTGTGTTCCTTGGTCCGGGACAGTTTCATGTGCATGAAGCCCTGACTGCTCCTGGAAAGAGGAGAGACCCTGGTAAGAGGGGGTCTACACAGCCCCCCAACCCAGCCATCAGTGATTTCCCCACTCCACTCCCTAGCTCCCACTACAGCAAATGTAGTTCCAAAACCAGCAGAAAGTGGGAGGTGATACGGAACGTGGTCAGTCCAGAAAATGGCAGCGGTCGTGGCAGCAGATAGAACCTGGAGCAGCCACACCCACCCTGCAAGACGGGCACCCTATGTGGCACACCTGGCTTACCCTCAGCCTCCCTGAGAGGGGCTCCCGTTAGCAGGAGGGTAGGTGGAGACATGTGAACAGCTACTTTAGGGAACAGTTGGGGGCTCTCCCTTGTGGAGAATGGGAGGGAGTGAGGCTGTCCACTGCCTCCTCCTGGGGACATCCCTTCATCCTCTTGCTATCTAGGCCTCCAGCCAAGCCCCTTCTCATCTATCCCATCCTTTAGCCTAGGATGACATCATCGGTTCTCACTGCAGCTCAATTTCTTCTCTCAGAGAGGACACGCTCCACTGCCTCCCCCATCTCCCTGCCATAATCCAAGAAATCAACATCCATACCAGGCCCTGCCCACTCACAGCTCTGAGTAAGGGAGATAGGACCACCTCCTTGCCCAGGCACCCTGAGTCTTAGAAAGAGGGCATGAGGGTGGGCTACCTGGTGTCAGGTCTGACATTCACCCACAGGCAAGGGGGAAGCTTTGTTTGTGGGAGGCCAGAAGTCTCGGTACTTGTCTGATGCTGGTCAGAGCCCATGGGAAGCAAGTACAGGGATTATAGGTAGGTGTGGTGGCTGAAACCGGTGAGTCCCCCCTCTTCCAAGAAGTGAGGGTGTCAAACCTCCTGCCTAGGTACAAGGAGTCCTGCCTGGATGCATTTATTTCACTAGGCCCACAAGTGAGAAATGGGGGAGAGTAAAGAGAAAAAGGGGAGTGGGAGATGAGGACATCTAGGCCCTTAACTCTCTCCTCTTGTGGCATAGTTGAGCACACTGAAGCCTTCATTAGGAACCCAGGATGCTAGGAGACAAGTCTAGAGGCTTCCCTGATTTTCCTGCTCTGGGCACCAGGGGGCCTTAAGGCTGGGTGTATGTATGTTAGGGTGTAGGGTCATCCATCCATCTGTGGGTCTGAGATACAGACTGTGGCTGATGGTGACCACACCAGTCTTACGGGAAAGGAACTAAGAGCCTGGGGACAATGTGTAGACAGAGAGACAGGCCTGAGTGGTCATCCTCCCCTGTCTACCCTAACATCAAGGCCCAGGCCCTAGGCTGTGGGCAGCCATTTAGATCTTCTCCAATTTTGTTCCTTCCTTCCCACAGTCCATGTGGGGGAATCTCCCTCTCCTGAAAATCACACATTATCTCTTCTTGGCTGAGAAGGGCTGCAAGTTAGTGTCCAGAGTTGGGAGCTGAGAGACAGCCTTCATGGGTATAACAGATCCCTTGTTGTTAGTGCTGTCAAGTTGGTTATGGTTCATAGCGATCCTGTATAGGATTTCCAAGCAGCAGCTAGTGAACTTGAACCAACCTTGAGGGTCAAACTGTCCTTGCCATCCTGTGTATTAACCCACAGCACCACAGAGGGGAGCTACCTGTGTTTCTGACCTCCTGGGACAAAAATCCCAAAGGTCCATTGGATACAGTAGAGCCTTCCCCTAACCCTCAGGGAGCCAGGGAGGGACTAGATGATGGGTGCAGGGCCGCTGGCAGGGTTTTTTGAAGAAGCTGTTTAATTACCAGTGAAAGCCCTTCCATTACAGAAAGAAGAGAAATCATAATTGTATTTCAGAGAAGTCATTTATATGCAAACTAGACTCTGGCAGACAGATGCAGTGAGGTTCAGATCAGTCTAGGCTGGAGCCCTCCTCCAGACCTGCCTTCCCTGTTTACCCCCAGGCTCAGGCAGGGCCACCTGGGAGCCTAAGCCCCTGGTGTGTTCCCTTAACTTAGACAGTACCAGACCCCCCCACACTACACTAAATGAGGGTTGGGATTGTGCAACAGGAACAGCACAATGTGGTTCTTGGAGTCAGACTGAACTGAGTTCAAACCCTGATACGGGCACTTTTTAGAGATGGTATATATACTGTCTGTACTTAAACCCTGGTGTGGTGCTGTGGGTTAATGCACTGGACTGCAAAGTCAGTTTGAACCGCAAGGTCAGTGGTTCAATCTCACCAGTCGCTCCTCTGAAACCCTATATAGGGTCACTAGGGGTCAGAACCAAGTTGACAGTACTTAACAACAACATAAACTTTTAAGCAATATATATTCCTGAAGTTATATAAATCAAACTGTTAACAGATAGATTTTTCTGAAATGTTCCTTTGATTTAATAATAATTCAGACTCTTAGAATATAAGCGCTACAAGAAATTTCAGAGGTTTCTACGAACTCATTTTGTAGATGGAGAAACCAAAGCTCAGAGTTGTTATTGTTGTATGTGCCTTCGAGTCGATTCCGACCCATAGCGACCCTGTACGGGGTTTCCAAGGCTGTAAATCTTGATGGGAGTAGAAAGCCTCATCTTTTTCCCACGAAACGGGTGGTAGTTTCGAACTGCTGACCTTAAGGGTCGCAGCCCTATTCGTAACCACTACGTATGCTATTGAGTAGATTCCAATTCATAGCAACTCTGTAGAATCAGGGGTCCATAAGGCCCAGAGAGATTAAGTGATTTGCCTAGAGTCACATAGCTAGTTGTATCAAATGCTAGGACTCCAGTTTCTTGGTTATAGTTGGACACATTTCCCATTATCTTTTGGTGAAATTGATTACCACCCAAATGTATCTGCTGTTAGACTTACGTTTCCATAGATCAGATGTTTGAAGTGGGGGTATACATATACTCTAATGCACCGAGTAAATCTGGTGGGAAGTGGTATAGATGCCCCAGTAGTGATGGGGGTGGGTGAATACTTACACCGCCCTGATAGGCTGCCTAGTGCAGGCTCCACCAGCCAGAACTCGGGGGTGCCAAGGGGAGGGCTGGCCATCCTACCAAGGGACCCTGGGAATCTGCTCCTAGGGAAAAAGGCTGATGGGAAGGAAGGCAGAAGGCCCCTGCCTAGCCAACTCTTAAGGACCCTTGAAAGCTCAGTTGTCAACCACTATCACTCAGACCCTCGACCACTTCACAATGGTCACTGCTCTGCCCTCCTGCCAGGGCCCAGCCCCCATCTTACCTTGTAGATTCCCACAGACAAAGTTTCTTACTACTCCTCACCTGTGCTTCTAGAATAGCTTGGATTTCCATTAATAATGGAGCTTCCCATACATTATTTCATTAACTACTTCCCCATTTTAAAAAGAAACGGAGGCCTAGAGACATTAAGGTCTCCCAGTTAGTCAGTGACAGAACCCTTCCAAAGCTGTAGCTCAGCTGTCCTTCCCAATGGATTATGAGTTCTTGAGAGCAGGGGTTGAGTCTCAGGCCCCTTGGGACCCCCAGTACCTGGCAGTCACAAGTGTCCAAATGAACCTCAGAGCTCATGGGGACAGGGCTCTCTTGGCTAGGCATGGGGAGACTAATGGAGCCCCCCCTGTTCTACTGACTGTTGCCCCACCTGCAGCCGCCCACACTCACTTCAGGGAGAGGGAGAAGTCATTCTTGCTGGTCTCGCTGTTGCGCACCAGGTAACTGGCCTCTTTGCACAGCCGGAGCAAGTTCTCGGCGTCTGTGCGGCTGATGGCTCCGTGGTACCATCTGAGGATAAGAGAAGCGGGGAGGGGCATCTCTGCTGGGTCCCTCGCCATCCAAGCCCACCCATTCTGGGTGACCCCTGCAGATAGGCCAGTGCCCGGAAGGGAAAGGGAAGAGAGGGAGTCCCCAGCTGGATACAGACACTCACACCTGGTTTTCCAGAGGCAGTGCTGGATCTGTCCACTCCCCCAGGGGGCTGCCGGGCTCCATGCTTAGGGGCTTGGCTGACTTGGGGTTCCCTGCGGAGAGTCGGGGAGGTAGCCGCCCCTTCTCCTCCCGGCCAGGTGACAGGCAGCTCTTCTCCGATCCTTCAAACTGGGCTGTGGGGAACATACCAGTCATGGACTCTGAGGATCCTGTAGCTAGAGCCCTAGTGAATGGCCAGTACTGCATCCCCATTTCCTGCCAGCATCAAAAGGAGTCAAAGGAACATTCCAGAAGTGCAGGGCGTGCTCATGGTTCTTGGAAACAGTCTTAGCTCCACCTCCAGGTGGGAATGGGGGCGCTGACCCTCCTGTACCACACATTGTGGAAGGAGATGGGAGAGGAGCAACATGAGAAACCACTTAAGTTTCTCCTCTGCAGCCAGCAGCCAACTGCCTCCTCCTATTCCTGCCTTCCACGATGGCTTCAGAGCTGATAATATTGTTTCTTTCTCCTCCACAGAGTTCATTACCGTTCTCCAGATCACCCTGCCAAGCCATTCTGTAGAAATGACTTATTGATCTGAGCACAATTATCCGATTCCCTTTGGTGCCATCCTGACAAGCTAATCCTGTCCAGAGACCAACCGCATTGGGCCAGTGACTGCCCACAGCTCCCCTCCCCCACCAGAAGTGGCTGGCTCTGCCTCCCCTGACCAGTGCAGGACTGAACTCCAGGCTCACACTCACAGGGGACAGCCACCACTGTCAGATAACCTCACAAGCAGGGTAAACATGGGCTTAACTGTACTGATTTACTAATCTGCAGTGAATAATTTCACATTTTTCACTACATCACAGATGCTGCTTCTAGGCATAGCTGGAATCTGTCTCTACAGCACCTTCACACAGAATCAAAGCCTCTTTTCCAGGTAAGGAAGCACAAGACAGCCCCTGACAGAGACCCTCCATCTTGTATTTTCAAAATATCTGCTCACACTATGGCACAAAGGTACAAACAGGAGCACACGCTTCTGTGTACATGCTCAGACACGCATACACGTTCTGGGCAAACAAAGCAGATGAAGACTTCAGGGCCTTCTTTCTCCCCATTTGGGCTCCTTGTGTCTCCGTGTAGCACTTTCAAGACCAGAAAATCAGCACCTCTCCTGTACTCTAAGGCGCTAGCCACTTCCGGTCATGAGAGCACACCCACTTTGGCAGTGTTTGCTTTGGGCAAAGCTCTACCCAAAGAAGTGAATTTAAAGGGGTGGATTTCTATAGCCTAGTGGGAAGATATTTGGAAGGACCCTCCCCCAAGAAGATACCCTCCCCACAGCAAGTGACAGAGACAGAACGTGCACTTTGTCTCTTCCCTCTTCCTCAGGACAAGTGGGATTCTTCCTGGGTTCTCCAAACCCTGCCCCACCTCCAACCAAGCCCACAGGGCCTGAGGGCTGAGAATACACGGCGCCCTGGCTGGAAGCCCCCATAGAACCCACCGCTGCCGTCCTCAAGGCTGGGCTCAGGTAGGGGTGAGGCTGGACCGGAGATGTCCCTGTCCCCGTCAGGCAGGGAGGGGCTGCTGTCCAGCTGTCCCACAGGTGGAGGCCAAGGTAGGTCTTTGATGACCTTAATGTCAACTGGAGCCGGTAACAGAGGGAGAAGAGAGACAGACAGCAACAGAGACAGAGAAAGGCAGAGGTTGAGACACCAAAACCAGAGCCAGGACACAGGATAGCCTAGAAAGGAGGTGGGGTGGATGGAGAAGCAGAGCCAGAGGCAGGGGTAATGTGTGGGGAGGACTCTTAGAGGGTTGGCTGAGCAGAGCCAGCACTGACCATACCAGGTTAGCCTAGTCAAACAGTGGGAGGTTCAGGGAGTGAACTGCTGACAGATGTAGGCAGGATCCTGCTCTACCTGCCTTGTGCCTTCCTTTCCTTGGACCCCTCACAACTTCTGTGGTCCAATGGGGCCAGGAGGCAAAGAACAAGGAGCTTCCCACGCCCAGCACCACGGCCACATTCCCATAGCCTCCTGGTACCCCCAGCCTTGTGTTCCTTTTTCCTTCCTCCCTTGTGGGCAGTGAGAATGGGACAGACCAGCTTTGGGTTATCAGGAATGCTCAGAATTGGGGACAGATGTTTTATTGACATTAACACCCACCCCCTGCTCCCATCCTGAGCCCGACAATTAGAAGAGTGAAGCCCCCAGCGGCTGCAGGACTACTAAGGAGCTTTCCTAATGACGAGCATAGATTTTCCCATTAAGCAATGCAAACAGTATTGATTCTCCAAGGAGACTGTGGAGATAAACGGCTCATCCTCAATAGTGCGCTCTTTACAGGAAGAAAATTAGGAACCTGTGGTTTCCCAGGCTGGCAATCAGGGTGGGGAGGGCAACGTGGAGGACTGAGCCCAGCTCCAGGATGACCCCCTTTGCCCAAGAAGGGGTGAGGGGGACATGGGCATAGGAATGAGAACGCTAGACATTTAAACCTATAATCTTCTCTGTCCTGCAAGATCTTGCATGACCACCACCCCGCCCCCTGTCCACCAACATGCACCTTTCCATTGTGGTTCCCAGGTCTGGGATGGACACTGGTGTGGTTGTCAAGAGAAATTTGATCCTCACTCAGCAACAACAGATTTTCTCACAGCCTCCCTTTCCCCACGGGTTCCTATGTCTCACACATCCCCCATGGACCAGGTACTTGGCTGGGGTCCAGGCAGGGCCTACCACTGGGAGACAAAGCCCTCCAATTCAGGGCTGTTATATCTAAAGGTTACACACACAGCTGTTTGCATTGTTAGAAGTGTGAAAAGCTTCATTTATTAAATGCAAATATTTAACATAAGCCACAATTTTTATAAATGTGATCTAGAATTTCTTTATTTTTAAATATACCCAGTCCTACAAATGATAGAAGTGGCCCAGGCTTCTTGGTCTCCAAGGGGTTGAGAGGCAGGGAAAAGCCTTCATCCTCTTCTCCCATGCCCATTTCCTGACCCAGCACACAGCACTGCAAATCCACATGATCACATTTGCACTCTCTGTGGCACAGCCCAGCTCCTGGGCCTCCCCTGGGCCCTAGGGTCCACTCCTGGCATTTCCCTGAACCTGGTTCAAGGCTCTGGAAAGTTCTTAGGCCCCAACAGACGTGCCCTTTCCACCCAGGGACTCACCTGCAAAGGCTTTGGAAATCCGCTCTTTCTTCCACTCCCAGGGCTGGTCATACTCCTCAGGAGGCCTCTCATCATCCTCAGGCAGGCGGGACTCCCAGGGCCAGGGGGGCCCCTCACCCTCTGGGGTGGTCCCTTCCTCCTCTGGTTCATAAGGCGTGTCGTAAAGAGGCAGGGGCTGAGCTGCTGACTCCTTGGAGCCCCGGATCTCTGACAGGGCAAGGCAGGAAGAGCAAGGGGTGAGCTTAGCCTTGGCTGCCTGGTCCCTGTCTTCTGGCAGCTGTCCCCAGCAGTGAGTCAAGCCTCATTCAGAGAAGATGCCACTGGCTCTGAGGCAGCCCATACTAGTTCCTCACCCCAAAATACCTCCGAGACTCCAAGAGGATGGGACCCAAGGGGCACAAGGACAGATGAGGACCAAAAAAGAATTCTGCAATGCCCAGAATGTGTTAGGAAGCTGAGGTTTACACATTTAGGAACCTGAGGCAGGGTCCTGTCCTAGTTTATCTCCTCCTTGCTGCTCAGCTCCATTAACCTCCTTGTATCCCAAATGACATCATTTCACAATCAGAAAACCCTTCTTTGCTTCTCAGACACTGTTGACCACCCTCCCTTTGAGACTTCCCTCTTTGACAAGTCATTTTCATAGACTGTCATCCTCTCTGATCACCCACAACTGGTCTCTTTCCCTGGACCCTTTCTTGGTCTCTGTTCTCCAAAGCCAAGGTCTTATTAATTTTTCCTTACCCTCACTCCTTAAACAACTTGTCCAGTCTCATGATGCCAGTGTATCTATATTTCTAGCCATATGTTTCCAATTGCCATAAAGATAGTTCACTTTTGCAAGAGTTAAACACTGTTAACTGTTGGTACATGGAGGGGACTGCAACCATGTAATGAAACAAATTATATAATTTCTTGATAACTGATGATCTGCTCTGTAAACCTTCATTCAATTCACAATACAAAGTTGGGGGGGAAAAAAAAAGGTATTTCACTTTGACTTTACATTGTTTCAATATCAAATTCTCCACACCTCCCTCATGATTCTTTTTTGGGGATTCTTTCATCAGAGAAAATCTGATGAAAGCTATGAAAAAAAATGTGCCCTCAAAATTTCACATACAATTCCAGGGCACTCGGGGGACTTCTTAGGTATCCATACCTCTGTGACCTAGGTAGGGTGGCCACCCTTTTGGTTTCTCCACTCTGTTCACCACAGTGTTTTCCTTGGACCTGGTCTTTGCTCATTCTTCAGATCCCAATGCTAGTTGCTTTCACCCTGGACTACACACACCTAGATTACTGCTGGGGGGAGAAGGAAACCTCCACTCCACTGGCTTGTGTTATACGTAGAATAACACTCTTAACTATTCTCTGTTACCTCACCCACATCTTCAAAAAAGAAAGAGCAAGTTATCTGATCAGCCATTGGGCACTCAATTCTCTTCCTTAGATCTCTTTCTCCTCTATGCAACAACTAGCCTGTTCCCATGCAGACTCCTCTAACTATCCTCCAATGCCCAAACCTGAGTGGGCAAGATTCATTCTGCAGCAAAGTATTAGAAGCTCACTGTGGTTGTAGAGATAGATAATGTTCTCCCATCGACTTTATCAATAACAAAGCTAACATTTTTGTCTGTTTCCTTATTCTGATTTCTAAGATTTCTACTGCCATCAAGCCAATTCTGACTCACAGCACCCTATAGGGCAGAGAAGAACAGCTTCTTAAGGTTTCTGAAACTAAATCCTTACAGGAGTGACATGCGTGTTTGAACTGCCAACCTTGGGGTTAGCAATTCAGTGCTTAACCCCCAGAGCCACCAGGGATCCTTTCTCTAAGCTTGTTTTTGGTTGGTTCTGACCCATAGTGATCCTATATAGGGTTTCTGAGGAGTGACAGGTGACTGGTGAGCTTGAACTGGTGACCTTCCTGTTCAAACTGACCTTGTAGTCCAGCGTACTAACCCACAGCACCACAGAGAAAAAAGGAGTATTAGTTATTGACCCCTTTAAAAGACCCAAACAATTTCCACAAGAGTCTCCGTACTCAACTTTCTGATGCCATTTTTTTCTAGTTGTTAAGTGCTGTCAAGTCGGTTCCGACTCATATTGACCCTATATAGGGTTTCCAAGGAGAAGCTAGTGGGTTTGAACCGACAGCCTTGTGGCTCAAATTGACCTTCAGTCCAGTGCATTATCCTGCAACGAATGCCACACAAATGCCATAGTTACCTGTTTCTCTCTTGCCCAAGAATCTACCATGAATCTCTTTTGCTTTTGGATTAGGTTCAAATACCTCATTCTAGCCTTCAAGACCTTTCAAATGCTCCGCACAGCCTCTCCCATACACACCCAGAAACTATTTGCCCTTGAATAAAGCTCCCTCTCATCCTTCTTTTGGGGTCTTGACTTCAACTGACTAGCCCATCCTCCCCTATGATGACTCCCAATTGACCTCTTTCCCTGGATCTTGAGGTCTTATTCATTATTTCCTATTCACACACCTTAACCACTTGCCCAGTGTCATAACACCCATTATATCTGTATTTATTTCTAATCATATGTTTCCAGTTGCTATAAAAAATGATCCACTTTGACATCATATTGTTTTAAACTCACCATCTTCCCCAAAGCTAGCAATTCTCTTTTAGGATCTTTGGGTCACAGCTCATACTGCTATCTTGCTCTTCCCAACCATCCCAAATACTTCTACCTCACTCTTGGTAGCCTGGCCTTCTCTACTGCCTCAGATCGCAGGCACTGCAAGTCAAACCGTCTTCTCCAAAAGTAACTGTCTTGAAGGCATTGGTCACACTCCCCAAGGACACAAAGAAGACTTTCTCCATATTTACAAGAAGCTAGGGATCAAGGAATTGGCCTTTACATTTGTGGGTCCCAGAGCATGTTCTGCAGCTACCAGGCCTCAGGGAGAACTCCCACTGACTCCATCACTTACCAGCCATCATCTTTTGGGCTTCATAGGGCTCCATGTAGCCATCATTTTCAGGGATCTTCTCTGGAGCTCCTGAAGCTCCGGCTGGGCCTTCACCAGTCTCTTGAACATCAAATGGGTCCGCGTAATCTTCTAGGATTGCCAACTGTGGGATGAGTGTGAAGAGAGGGCCCTTCAGACATCTGAGAGGTCACTCTGCTTCCCCCTAGTGTTCTGTCCACATGAGCAAGAGTCCTGGGTAGGCTTCCTTAAGCCCACAGCCCCAGTTACCCAGGAGCAGACTCTGAGCTTAGATGGGCACAAGCTATGGTTCTTCTTTTGCATGGATTCCCTACCAGGCTGCCAACCAAGTGCTATTTTCTTTTCTGTTAATTTTATGCCTCTGAGATATCCCCTAGGCCAAATGGCCTGGATGGAGCTCCTGGGATTTAGTGCCTTACCTTTGTCATGCGTCAGTAGAACAAGATTCTAAGATACTACACCAGGTGGTTCAACAAAGGGAATGAATTTGGAGACTTGATTACAAAGATGTTAGAAGAATTCAATGAGCATGCAGGAAATGATGAGGTAACTCAGAGATTAGATTGGTCCATGCCTACCAGCAAGCTTCCAGATGCTGGTCAAAGAAATATTTGCTGACAATCAAGGAAGAAAAGGCTGAACACTGTGTGCCAGTTATTTTGATTTACCTCCACAACGTCCCTGTCAAATGGGTATTACAGTCTCCACTTTTTAGGAAATGGAGGCTGCTTAGGGTAATTATGGATCAACATATGTAAGACCTTTCTACATAAATGGAGGAACCATGATTAGAACATTTTAGGCAAATGTATGCTGCCACCAGTGGACATCTTGGCTGTCCTGGAAGAGAGACAACCCTAAGGAAAGTCAGAACTTGGATTCTGCTGAAACCTACTTGGCACCAGGATGACAGGTACAGGAAAGGCCTCACCTCGGTCTTCTACTTCCCACACTGCTCCTTTCTCCCACACAAATGGCTCATGGCCACCCCTCCGTCCCTGCTCCCAGTCAAAGCAGAGCAAACCGCAAGCTGCACACCCAGCAGAGGAGCTCAAGGTGCTCAAGGCGTGGTGCCACTGAGGACAATAGAGTCTTTCTCCAGGCTGGGCCCTGGCTCCTCCGGGGGGAGTCTGCTGAGGTGGAGACAAAGCCCAGCCCACCATGGGCTGCTAAAACCTTGGGAGTACTGTGCACCACTGAGTTGACAAGTGCGGACAGGAGGTGGTTCCACGGCCTGCAGTTATGAGGAGCAGCCATTCTGACCCTTCTCCAAATTTCCAACCTAGGCTTTGGTTCTGGCAGGATTAAAGCTGTGGGAGCCAGCTGGACTGAGAGCTGTGGGGGGCACTGCCTTGCCCTTTTTCATTAGAGGATCTAGATATCAGGAACTGCCCTGTCCCCAGTAAGGCAGAGATGGAAAAAGGAACCTCCTCACTTTTCTTGAAATTCTTTGGGCCCGACTGTCCCTCTAGTGGTCTCTGAGGCACATCCCAGTGACATCTATCTATCATCCCATGGTTCAGTCCCTCAGCTCCCACTTTGTGCACAGTCAAGCCCCTCAGCTCCTTTAGCTCTCTCACATCTCTGCCTACTTCTGAGACAACCACTTCTCAGCCTCCAAACACCACCACTAGACCATCCAGAACATCCACCAGCCTGGACCTCTTTGCCATTTTTGTTCTGCACTCCAACAAGCACCTGGCTCCTTGCAGACACTTGGAAAATGTGTTCACTAGATTATCCAGGAATGGAGGCCTGGTGGTGAGCAGTTCAAAGCCACCAAATGAGGCTTTCTGATCCTGTAAAGATTTACTCACAGCAATCCTGTCTCAGACCCGACTCAATCATCCAGGAGTCCTGGGGGTGCAAATGGTTAAAATGCTCGGATACTAACTGAAAGGTGGAGAGTTCGAATGCACCTCATAGTTCCGTGGGAGAAAGACCTGGCCATCTGCATCCATAAAGAGTATATATATAAGCTAAGCAAACCCTACAGGGCAGGTCTGCTCTACCATCGGGGGTCGTCCTGAGCTGGGATCCACAGCACTCAACAACTAGATCACCTTATCTCCTCTTGGAGGTGTCAACTCCTATAGTCCTCCTTCCTGGGAAGTACAGAAAAGAAATCCACTCATCCACCCCAAGCTGCTTCCTTCCAGGTTACCTGGCACCCACGGCCTCACCCACTTGGCCAAGGTGACTGCCTTGAACTCACACCAGGCAGCTACTCAACCGACAGTAATTGAATTCACTAATATGTTGGCCTTAATTAAGCCTTGCCATGGCTTTCCAGTGCCTGGAAGAAAAAGGCCAAAGTTAAAAGGATTGAAAGATCCTCTTTGGTTTTGCTCTACCCACCTTGGATCACTTTGTTTCCTCAAAGCCTTGTGCTCTTTCTTACCTCACAGGATTTCACTCTCCTCTTCCTCCTGAACTTGCAAACCCCTGTTGATTCTAATTATGTTCTTTCTTCATAAAGCCTTTTCTGAATCCACACCAGGCCAGGTTAGGCACCTTCATGTTGAGTTATTATCACAATCTATAGTAAATACTTGTTTTATTGTCTGTCTTCCCAAAGACCATGAATATCCTAAGGGCAGGACTCCTGTTTACTGCTCAGTGCCTAAAAACCCTCAGTAGATATTTGTTAAATCAATTAACAGAAAACAGGAAGACTGGACAAGGGAAGCACTTTCCCTTTCCTTCAGTGGAGGGAGGAAGCATGAATCCTGGGTAGGATGAAACATCAAAAGTAAATCTCTGTCCACAGGAGCTGTTTGGTGAGTAGAGTTACTGGCCCAAGCCCCCAAGCCTAGGAGCCAACAACAGTCCCAGCGTCACTCACAAGTTGGATCAGAATTGCAAGCAGTGCCCATCACATTGGAATCCTGGGCCTGTGCCCAGAAGAGACCCCACCTAGGTCAGCATGGGCTTCCTCAACCCCAACCTACATGCCCATGGGCGCTCAGGTGGCAGCTCTGCAACTCAATGGCTCCTCTGTTCCACACCTGGCTCCACGCCCTGCTCCAGGAAGACCCAGCCCCACTCCCTGGGCTGGGGCACCCAGAGGAGCCACCCACGGCCTAGGAGTTGGGAGCAGTGGCAGAGATACCTGCTAGGAAGTCTGACAGGCCATTCGAGGAGGCAAGCCTGTTCAGTTGGGAGCAGCTGTCACTGTGGGCTTCTGACCCTTGAGTTAGCATGATTTGCTATTTGCTTATGGTCTCTGCCCTTCTGTGTTCACTGCCATGTCCCATGACCATCACAAGGTCTGGCACACAGTAGGTGCTCAATGCACTTATTGGGTACTTCAAAGGCCTCCTCCATATTCTCCGTCCTCTGGAGTGGCCTGACTCAGATCCTTATTCACTCAGACTGACCTCAGAGCAGCCAGGGCAACAGGAGATGGCTCTTGGCAGTTTACATTTAAACAGTGATCAAAGCCTCTTGCTCAAGGGCAGAAAGGAGAAAGCAGCGGCAAAGGGCCTTCAGGGAAGGCACTAATAAAATCAGGGCTGAAATTTAGGCAGACAGGCTGGTAGAGCCAGAATGCTGTTGAAATGCTGATTTATTTCCAAACAACCAAGAAGCTGCTGTCCAGAGTCGCCCGGCCTCTGTGCCTGCTGCAATCCAGCAGGGTGGCCTCCAGAACCCTGCTCATCATAGGTTCCGATTGGCTGGCATTCCTCCCAGAGCAGCTGCTGTACTTAGAATGGATCTCCTTCCTGCCTAAGACTCCTCTGATTTAGCTGGTAGGGTCCCACCATCTGGTTCATGGCTTTCTACTTTGCCACTAGGCAATGAAATGTTGGGGGCAGTGGGGAGATGGGGTGACCTCACGGACTGGGCTCCAAGGAGGCCAGGATGATGGCTATGCAGGTCCACAATCCTTTCCTCCACTTATTTGTTGTTGTTGTTGAGTGCCTTAAAGATAGTTCTAACTCACAGCCACTCTGTATAGCGTTTTCGAGGAGCAGCTAGTGGGTTTGAACTTCGACTGTTTGGTTCGCAGTCCAGTGCTGATCCTACAGCACCACACCAGGAGTCCACTTTTTTATACTTAATGTCTCTAAGCCTCTGTTTATAACATTTGTAGAATGGAGACAGTAAGAGTACCTACCTCCGAGGACTGTAAAGATCCTTAGTGGTGCTGTGGGTTAAGCATTGGGCTGCTAACCAAGAGGTTAAGGTTCAAACCCACCAGTTGCTGTGCAGGAGAAAGATGAAGTTGTCTGCTTCTGTTACAACTTAGTCTGGAAATCTTCTGGAGCAGCTCTACTTTGCCCTACAGGCTTCTTTAAGCTACAATTGACTCAGTGGCAGTGGATTTTTTTTTATTGGAGTCCTGGTGTGACGCTGTGGGTCAATGCGCCAGATTGCAAAGCCATTTGAACTGTAAAGTCGGCGGTTCAAGCTCACCACCTCAGAAATCCTATACAGGGCCACTAGGCACGTAATAACTTGATGGCATATAACAACAACAACAAAGACTTTTATGCATGTAACAGTTTTTAGCCCAAAGGTTGGTACAGAGTCAGTGTTCAATAAATGTTAAGTGCCATTGAGTTGGTTCCGACTCATAGCAACCCTGTATAGGGTTTCCAAGGAACGACTGGTGGGTTTGAACCACCAACCTTACTGTTCAAACTGATCTTGCAGTCCAGTGCTTATCCTCCAGCCCCACACCAGGACTACTTTATGATAGTCACTTATATTCAAGCATTCAAGCCCCTTGACCCAGGTATTTCTAACATTTGAGAAACTGTAACATCTTTTCTCCTTTACTTGCAGATTTAAATTACCTTAGCATGTTAAAGGCTCTGAGAAGTCCTGTAGCAAAGAAATTAGTGTAATTTTGTTTAAGTCAGCATCTCTCAAAAGTATTTATCCTTTTCAACAGAAACCCTATTATCCTATTTGGGAAATGGTACACTGTTTATCATCTCTGAAATCAAACTTTTGTACCTGCTGTTCTCACTTATTGGAATGCCCTTCTATTTTATATGCCAGGGAAACTCCTTCACATGAAACAAATTACTGCAAATTATGCTGTACTAATTACAAAAGTAGAGCCATGCTTATAAAACAATCAAACATCATAGACCTGTAATTGATGTCATCTCCCCTTATGAGGCCATCATAATGTGGGTTGGCGGCCACCTTGGAATTACACAAAACACACCTGAGTTCTTTCTCTAAGAGTCTCCTCCCCTTCTTTACTAGCAGACACTTAGTAAACCCCTCCTCTCTGCTGGTCACTGGTGGTAGGTCTGAGGCTCCTGGCATAGGGTTCACCAAATCTCGGCTCTGCTACTTACTAGATGTGAAACCGTGCGAGGGTGACTAAGCATTCCTGTGCATCGCTTTCTCCATATATTACCCGGGGATAGTCATAAAATCTTCCTTCCAGGGGTGTTGTAAAGATCAACTAGTCTAATATTAGGGGGCTTCGAAGTTAATGGAAATATTGAATGAAAAGATATGGGAATTTGTCCACGAACTTTTTGAAATCCCCTTGTACATGTCACCTGCTCCAACCTAGGACCAAGCACAAGGTACACACCATGGTCAGTAACTGTCAGCCATTATATTACTAAAGATGAAATACCACAATCCTGGGTTCTCTAGGACCTCACAGTGACAGAGACAAAATTTCCAAGCAAGGAAAGCACCTCAAGGTGCTGTGAAGCCCGGAGGCCTGGGCCCCAGGCACTGCGGCACTCCATCCCAGACTCACTACAGGCAGGTGTGGGTCCTCATCTCTGCTCTCATTTACTATCACTGAGGGTCTGTGGCAGCAAGAACCCTTATCTCTGGGCCCTGGCCAGGACTTGTCCAGCACCACCTGCTCCTCTCATCCAGAGTCCACAGGGTCCCAGCTGTTCTGGGCCCCCAACAGGTAGAATGCCAAGGCTGGGGTGTCAGTGAGTCACTGGCCAAGCCAACATGCCACAGATGTCCTTCGGAGGGAGTGGGTGCCGCAGTGTGAGGAGTCAGAGCTGGGTAGAAGGTCGGCCACACAGTCCTCCAGCAGGTGGAGGCCTCAGAAACTCTCAAAGCACAGGGTCAGCCTGAAGCCATGAGGAGCACCAGGCGAGGCTTCCTTCTGCAGAAGAGGTTTAACCAGTCCACAAAGCACCCTAGACCTAGATCCTTCCCTTCCCCAGGACATTCCACTCCATCTCCATTACAGAGCAGAGAGATAGAGATAAGACCTCCAACTGTGGAAGTTACCCAGAAGCAAAATGAAAGCAAACAAACTCAACAAACACAGGGACCAAGTGGAGTGTCCCTTTCAGTGTCCAGGCCAGTGTCACTTGAACAAACACTCAATGAACACCAGCTAAAGGATGATCCTTCCTTCATACCTCCTTTCCACCCTCCTAACCAAGGGCAGACACGTCTACTCAATTTTAGATCCTTGACTATCTCCTTTACTTCACTACTTTAACTCTTCCTTCTCTGTCTGTTCACTAGTTTCCAGATTTGGGCCTGGAGAATCCAAGTCCACGGTGATACATATATAAGCGTATCTTTCTAAAGTTCTTAATATTTCGGGGCCTGTGCACTACTATAAGAATATGAAATGTGTGAGCCTCTTCTCAGAAAAATGCTTATACACCCAAGTACAATTTCTGGGGGTTCACAAACCCCAGGAACAAGCTCCTCCATCCACTTAGAGAAAGAGTCCCTGTAACAATACAGGGTTCCTGACTGTCTTATTGTCCCCATCACCACACACTCACACACACACATGTGCACACATATTTTGGCTTCATGGAGGCAAACGACATATTGTGCAGATGGTCAAAGACAGTCTGGAGCCTCATCCAATCAGGACCCTTTCCTCATATCCATCCCTTCCTCTAATTAGATCAGATTTTTCCTGATCAAGGTCTGAGAAACAGGAGCAAAGCAAGAGAAGGCCCAATTCTCTAGCCCCTTTGCCAGCACATGGCCTGAAGGCTGGACAAGGGCCCAGCCCCACGAAGGAGCCCTTCTTCCTGCAGCCAGATGGCAAGGGCTCTGCCTGCCCATTGCAGGGTATGGTTCCTGCTGCTCCCACACCTGCTCGGCCTAGTCTGCCCAGATGGCCACTCTTGCACCCTGCCAACTCCAACAGTGGCTCTCAGGGTGGTGGCCAGAGCCCTGGGTGGGCGAAGGCTAATGGCCCTGAGCTGTCAGTAGATTGACATATTGGAAGGGCTTTCAGGGTCCAGTCCAGGTCTCTGGTCTCTTCTGCCCCCACACTCACTGGCTCATAAAAATGTTTCCACCATTTCATCAACCCTTATGACCCAGCACCGTTTAGAAGGTTCTGACCCACCAGCACCAGTCACTAGGCTCCAGAAGGAGAAAATCAGGTTGACCCAAGGTTCATCCCAGTCCCCAGTCTCCATCTCACCTCAGGAGACCCAAAAGCAAAGAGCCAAGAGGACCTGCAGAGCTGAGAGGAGGAGGAACAGACAAGGAAGGAAGGCTGCCTCCGTACAGAAACACCGGTTTAGCAGAGCCTCGGGGCAGAGGGAGGGGCCTGGCCTCAAGGTCCTGGGGCAGCATCTGAGTGGGCTATCTAGGCCCACGCCTCTCAGTAGGTCCAGGGGTGGGGGTGGGCACACTGGATTTAGGGTAAAGGGCTTAGGCGTCTTCTTGTCTGGGCTCTTCCCAGGGGGAAGACATTGGAATTCACTGAACTCTGCTTCTACAGGGTGGGGAGCTGCTCTCTGAATGGTGGGAGGTAACAGGGCCTGCCCCTGGGCCAGCCTAGATGGCACCCCAGGTCCTTCTCATCACACCCACTAAAGAAACCACCGATTGTATGGCTCCTGGGAGATCCTGCTGGATTTCATTCCTGTCCCTCCACTGAAGCTGACAAAGGAGTCAGACATCTGGTCACCAAGGTCTGAACAGCTCACAGATCACAGAGCCAACCCAGGCGGAGGCATGAACATTCTCAGTGAGACGAGACTGTGGACCTCTGTAGGACCTATGTGGGTGCAGTCCTGTCCTTGGGGAGTCCCTGTCCCTCAATCTGCCCTGGCAATGGACAGCCACCAGTCAGGACAGATTTAAGCAGCCCTCTTTATGCAAGTTTGTGTCAGGCACCTGGGAGACACAGACACAAGAAGGACATGTCCTAGTGCTGGAGGAGCCCATGGATTGGTGGTTAGCCTGTTGGGCTATTCCAAGCCACTACAGAGGAGGGCAAGGGACAGCTCTGGTCCAAGTGCCAATGGGGAGGAGGCTTAAACTGATCAATGGTAAGAACAAGGCCTAGCTCTCTACTCCCCACCCCCACCCCCCATCTCTACTACCAACAGCACACAGTATCATCCAATACCAGGGGACAATTAGGTAGAAAGGAGCCTAAGGATATGTGAAGGAAATGCCCCTTTGAACCTTTTCCTTCAGGCTAAGGATCCTGGCCTAGGATGGGCAGTCATGCCCCATGGCAGGAACTAGGGAAAAAATAATTCACATTCCTGAGGCTTTTACTCAGACCCTGACACATCTCTCTCTTCCAGGAAACTGGGGCAAAACGGCGTCCGCTGGCCAAAAGCCTCACCCTAAGAGCCAATGAACTCGGACAGCAAGTTTGCTCTCCAACCAAATAAAATGTGTGTTCTCTTCTCTTGAGGAGAAGGGAGTAAGCGCCAGAGCTGACTTCCGGGGGGTGAATGAAGAGGGGCAACAGAACTACGCTGCTAATACAGTCACTGTGATAGACTGTAGGACCAGAGAGGCCTGAGGGTGGCTGTCAGCTGTCACTGTCAGGAAGGGATAAGGCTAGGCTGGGGGCCAGTCACAGGGGATTGACTTCTCAACCAGGCTTCTGAGGCAGGTGGGGAACAATTAATGTCCCACTCTCTTCTCTACCCCAATGTCTGCAAATCCAGAAAAGACTCGAGGAGAGGGAGACCAGGAGAGGAGTGAGCTCAGCTGCTTAGCTGTACCTGGGCAACAGGTCCTGAGCACTGGCCATCCCCAAACCTAGGACAATGGAAAGGGGTGCCAGGAGTTGGCCTGCCTGGATGCCAGTGGTCAGCATCCTTGGTGAAGAACTGCATACTTCCTGCATTGGTCTCCCGACCCACAACAACAGTCCATCAAGTCCTATTCCCTCTGGGTAAGGTAACGGCCAGCTTTTGCTGCGACAACAGAGGAAACCCCAGCCTTCATCTCCTGCCTCGGGCTTCCGCACCTGTAAGGATGCTTGGGTTCCCAGAAGAGAAGGGAGAGGAGGAAGGGAGCTTTGTGCAGGCTTTGCTTTGAGGGGGGAGGGGTCAGAGATCAAAGGGCACTGAGCTGTTGATCCCAGAGGGTAAAGAGGCCATAAAATTGGGCGGGAGGGGGCACCGTGCGCCTCAATTCCCGTTAGAAAAAGATTCGCTGATCCGATCCACTGAGCGGGAGTCGAGGCAGAGAGCAAAGCCGGGGAGGGGGAGGGTCACCAGCCGTCCTACGGTGATGACAGGGATGGGGGCAGAGTTTGGGACTCCCTTCTCACACTAATCGGTGAAGAATCTGAACAAAGGTGGGTGACGGCTCGGAGACCCAGGGTTAGGGACTAAGCCGTGATATCTAGCGGCCCGACCCTGGCCAGGCAACCTTTGTCCGGCTCACAACCCCCAGACCTTCCACCACCTCTCCTCCAGACCACCCCCGCTCTGCCAGGCACTCACCCTGTCGCTGCTAGCAGGGGGTCCGGAGATCCGCTCCTCTGGAGGGGGCGCTGGGGGCCCAGGAGTCTCGACCCGAATGAGGCGGTGAGGGGGCGAGCCGTGGCGCGGGGGTGGTGTGGGGCCGGGGGCGGCAGGGGCGATGAGATTGGCAGAGCCAGACGGCCCTCCGGAGTAGGGGTCTTCGAAGTCGCGTTCCCGCTGCAGCCGGTAGGCTGCCAAGATGTCCGGGGGCGGCGCCGGGGGCGCGGCCGGGGAGGGGGCAGGGGGGCGGTAATCGGGCTCGGGGGGTGCCGGCTTGTTGCCCCCTCCACCACTGCTCCCCCCGCGGAAGCCCAGGTGCTCCCGGAGCCACTTGGCCACTCCTCCGCTGCTGCCCCCTCCAGGGCCGGCTCCCGCACCCCCAGCGCTCCGGCGCGACCCCCCCGGGCCGCCCCCAGCGCTAGCCTGCGCCCGCGGCCCCTGGCCGGAGCCCGCCGGAGGAGCTCCGCTCAGTAGCATGGGGCCCGCCAGACTAAGCTAGGGGAAAGCGGGGGCGGGGCGGGCGGCGGGGAGAGGGCGGGACTCCGTCTAGCGGCGGGAGGCGGGGCTTGTCAATAACAAGGGAGGGGAGGGGCTCTGCTCCCTAAGGGCGGGCCTCCCTCCTCCTGGGCGGAGAAGGTGGTTTGCTGGCTCTCAGCTAGTGTGGACATGTACGAAGTGGACAACCCCGGGGTAGGGGATGCGATTTCTGGACTGAGTGGATGAGTCCTCCACGTGTCTCCACACGTTCCCCTGTGAGGATATAGCCGTCCCCATATGTTTCCATCTTGTGTCAGAGTGGACAGTGGTGCCCCAGGTTATAGGTTTCCAGCCCTCTGCTGCCTTCTTCCCTCCACTTCTCTAAGTCCTTCAAATCGGGAAACAATACTAAGAGGAAAATCTTGGGAGGGAGATGAAACAGAAGAGACGGTTCTGTAAACTGTAACAGCTGCACTCCTTGCCCGCCCCCCCCCCCCCCCACACACACCCCTTGTTACCGTGGAAGTCCCACCTATCTCCTCCCATCCAGCTGCTATGCTTACACCGCTCCTGTTGGATCTACATTGCTTTCCAAACCAGCTAACACATCTCATACAGGCAATTCCCTAGAGACACCCACCTCTTCTGTGTCGTTTGCACACACACCTTCCTCACATGCAAACAGCCTTTGCACAAACACCCCACCTACAGGCGCACCCACCCTGAGCAGGCCCACCGGTCCTGACTTCAGCCCACACTTAGGCAAAAACTCCTTCAAGTCAGATTCGTATTTATTGTCAATCAGATTAATGACAGAATAGAAACAGACAAGTCAATAAATCAAGTCTAGAAACAGTTCCAATGTTGTCTATCACAAACCCCTGTATCCTCCTGAGCCTGGATGCTCAAACGCTAGGCAATTTTTTTTTTTTTGTCTTAGAAATAAAGTCAGTTCTTCCCCCAGAAATGTAAGCCTGAAGCCAACCAAGTTTTGTTTTAGCTCTACTGAAAGGGTGGTGCCTCCAGCTGCTTCACCCCACTATCACCCCCCTGGGGACTGCCTCAGGGCCATCCTAACTCCTGGGTTCTTTGCTTTCTAAGGGTGCGGAGTCAGTGGGACCCATCCTGAAAACATATCCCAAAGTGAACGGGATTTCAAAGATGGAGTAGAGTGTTATCCAACGCCCCAAATTCTACCTATTTACTACCTGACAGCCGGGGACGATTAGGAGAGATAATGTTTATTAAACTTTCCTGTAAACACAAGTCTCCTGAGGGGCTTCTTAAATTGTAGGTTCTGATTCTGTAGTTCTAGTTGGAATGGGGTTCCATAGGCTATACTTCTAACAGGCTCCCAGGTGATGCCAATGCCGCTGTTCCTTCAACCATGCTTTGAATATAGCAAGGCTGTAAGGTGGTGTGGTGCTGTGGGTTAATGCACTAGACTGCAAATCGTTTTGAACTGCAAGGTTGGCAGTTCAAGATCACCAGTCGCTCCTTAGAAACCCTATACAGGGTCGCTATGGGTCGGAACCGACACTTAAAAACAAAAGATACTGAAAAATCTGATATCGTGCCTTGCTTCATGAAATATAATAGAGAAAATTATCTATACACATTTTTTTTAAATGTACAGTTTAAAAAATTGACTCACAATGCAAAAGTGGACATTGAGATGAGAAATACCAGAAGAATGGTCCAGTTAGTCCATATCAGAGAGTCTCCAAAATCACCAGGTATGAGGACCTGGAAGTCACTGACTTAGGGATCCAGCAGTTGTAGGCTATATAGTCTGTCCTCTGGGCAATGTACTCAATTCCACTGACGCTCATTTTTCGTATCTCTGGAAAAGGCCTGATGATAGCTGTGTGAGAACAAAGTGAGAAGAAGGATGTGAGCAGGCCTTTAAAGCTGTAAAATGCTTACAATGGAAAGATGTCAAATGTGGCCACATATGTTTAAGAAGTATGGAGTTAAGCTGCCAATGGCAAAGACGAATGGGATCAATGGAGTCTGCACAAAAGAAAGCAGGCTTCATGACAGAGGTTAGCATTTTGGACAGATGAAACAAAGGGGTGAAAGGTCATTCCAAGTCAGTGAGTAAGCATGAACCAAACAAAGGCATGAAAGTGGGAACCAACACACCATAAAGAAAGGGAGGAGTAATGGTGGGGAAGAGTAAGCAATAAAATTAGGTGTGTGTGTAAGGGGGGGAATGCCATAAAAGTGGGGTTCTTAAAGGATGATTTTTTTAAATGACACCACTTTCTATGAACCATTCATTTATGCTGTAAATGATCTGTTACTGCCCGTTCCATCCCCACCGAAGTGTGTGCTCTTGGAACGAGGTATGGTTGAGATACCTCATAGAGGCCAAGAAGCTTGCTAGGAACCAAGACTACAGACTTGGGGGGAGTCTGCCAGATTCAGAGTTTTGTGTAGCATCTCACCATAGAATCAGGAGTCTGCAGCAAAGCAGTACAAAACCTGCCATGTGACAGGGGCCTAACAAATGCTGAAAAAAATTTTTCTCTTGCTCTTTTGTTATTGTTGTTAAGTGCCATTCCATGGAATCGTTTCAACTCCTAGTGACCCTGTGTAGAGTTTCCAAGGAACAGCTAATGAGTTTGAATTGCCAACCTTTTGGGTTGAATGCTTATCCTACAGCACCATACCAGGACTCCACTCTTGTTTTTACATAACTATAATCTTGATAGCATAGTGGTTATGAATCAGGCTGTGAACCACAAGGTCAGCAGTTCGAAACTACCAGCTGTTACGAGGAGAAAGAGGAGGCCGAAGATTTACAGCCTCAGAAACCCTGTACAGGGTCACTATGAGTTGGAACTCCAAGGCATATAACAACAGCAACATAATCTTGGTATGGAGTCCTGGTGTGGCGCTGTGGGTTAATGCACCAGACTGCAAAGTCTTTTGAACTGCAAGGTCGGTGGTTCAAGCTCACCAGCTGCTCCTTGAAAACCCTATATAGGTTTGCTATGGGTCAGAATCGACTCAATAGCACTTAACAACAACAATCTTGTTATACAAGGAGACTTCTAAAAGTTCATGGAAAAATGGAGATAAACGATAATGGAATAGCTACATGAACCTTGTGAAGCCCCCTTGTAAACACAAATATTTTGTCCTGATTTTTTTTCACTTAACATTGTGGAATAATTTTCCTATTTTTGTTTTGTAGACTTTATTATTATTTTTAATTTCATAGTTTAGTAGATTCACCACTTTGCTTTAATCCCTATCTTTGCTAAGCCATTTCATGCAAGCTGCAAATATCATGATATTTCAGCTCTTAATACTTCAAGAGATATTTCCTGATACAACCACTGTGGAAAACGGTATGGTGCTTCCTTAAACAGTTGGAAATAGCAATACTATATATATATGACCCAGGAATCCCTCTAGCTGGTACATAGCTCCAAGAAATAAGAACCATGATACAAGTAGATGTACACACACCTATGTTTATTGCAACACTATTTACGATACAAAAAGATGAAGACAGCCTTAACTGCCCATCAATGGAAGAATGGATATACAAACTTGGGAACATACACTCAATGGAATATTATACAACCCTGAAGAATAATAATGACTCTACAAAACACCTCACAACATACATGAACCTGGAGGACATTATTGTTGTTGTTAAGTGCTGTCAAGTTGGTTCTGACCTGTAGCAACCCTGTATAGGGTTTCCGAGGCTGTAAAGCTTTATGGGAACAGAAAGCCTCATCTTTCTGTTTCACTAGTAGTTTCAAACTGTTGACCTTGAGGTTAGCAGCCCAACTCATAACCACTACACTATCAGATCTCCTTTGGAGGACATTATGCTGAGTGAAATTAGTCAATCACAAAAGGATAAGTATTGTATGACAGCATTATTGTAAAAACTCAAGAAAAGGTTTTCATGCTAAAAGAAATATTCTTTCATGTTCTTTGATGGTTACCAAGGGCGGGCAATATTCAAGAGGGAGGTTGGCAGAAGAATGGGGATGACTTGTGAAGACACAGGGAAAAATTCAAAGTTGAAAAGAGTTAAAGAGGTAAATACTGTTATATACACAACCCTGCAACAACAGTGTTTCATGGGTAGGTACATAGGCTGAACGGGAGGGAGAATGCGAGTATACCCACAATGATATCAGGATTTGACAGAGGATATTTGTACATGGATATTTACCTTTTTTGTCAACACACCTATGAATGTGGTGGAACATTTGCTGTTGTTATTAGGTGCCATTGAGTCGGTTCTAACTAAACAGCAACCCTAAACAACAGAATGAAATGCTGGCCAGTCTGCGCCATCCTCATAATTGCTGCTATGTTTAAACCCATTGCTGCTACTGTCTCATTGAGTGTCTTCCTCTTTTCTGCTGACCCTCCACTTTACCCAGCATAATGTCCTTCTCCAGGCACTGGTCCCTCCCAATAATATGTCTGAAGTATGAGAGACGAAGTCTGGCCATCTTTGCCTCCAAGGAGCATTCACCTGTTTGTTCTTCTGGTAGTCCATGGTACTTGCAATATTTTTCTCCAACACCATAACTGAAAAGCATACAGAGGACAAAATGATAAAAGTGTGTTAGGTATTACCAAACATATTGAGGCAATGAGTTGCTGGACCTGGGGGCTCCAGACCGTAGTCTCAGGGGACTCCATGGTCAATTGGCATAGCATAGTCCACAAAAGACAATGTTCTTTATCCTACTTTGGTAAATAGTGACTCTGATCTTAAAAGTTCGTGTAAGCCATCTAAGGTGCAACTGTTGGTCTGTCCTTGTACAGAAGAAAGAAAAGTGATGAAAATTGAAGATGCTTAGAATTAGTTCCAATGGACTAATGGAACACGTGTTCATGTGTTCGCAGTCTCCATCCATGACTGTGAGACCAGAACTAGATGGTACCTGACTACCACTTCCAACTGCTCTGTAAAGGATCACATTAGAATGTCCCGGATAGAGTAGGAGAAAATGTGG